TCTGTCTGATTTCTGTTCATGTTTTTACAAAATTAGTAAGAATAATTTTTATAATATCAAATTCAATGATAATACTATAAATACTAACCTTGAATTGTTTTCTTTTAAGGTGTCTTGAAAAAAAAATTATCTTGCTTTATCGACTTTTTTGTTTTTGTTTTTTGAAATCTCGGACTCTGTTTGATTTCTGTTCATTAAAAAAAATTAATGATAACTGATTTTATATATTAAAGTAAATTATAATTTTATAAATACTAACCTTGTGTTGTTTTCTTTTCAAGTGTCTTCAAAACATATTCATATTGCTTCATCATTTTTCTTGTTTGCTTTTTTTGAATCTCATCATCTTCTAAACCTTTATCTTTTTCAACGTTTTCATCACAAGTCTTTTCATCTTAATTTTTTCTTAATTTATTAACTATTTCCACCATGGTTCTTTTTGTGGTGTTTTTAGTATATTTTTTTGAACCTTCAGCTAAACAGTGTGAAAATTTTGATGTTAATATCAAAAATATAAGTAATATTATGAAATACATGTTGAAAAATATAAAATTCAACATGTGATGATCAAATTGCAAAAACTTTTTAGAAATTCACATTGTGAATCTGTGAGGCTATAAGGTATATCGAAGATTCACATTGTGAATTTATGCATTTCATAGCAAAACAGTTTGAGGTTCACCAAGTGATGTACACATACACATGGTGAATTTTTTCAATTATTTTGTGCATAGTGAAAACAAACAAAAGTGTTGATTAACTTGCAAATTTTTTTAAGACATTCACATTGTTAATCTGTGTGAATGTGAGATGTACATCGAAGATTCATATTGTGAATTTATGCATTTCATAGGAAAATAGTTTGAGGTTCACCAAGTGATGTACACATACACACGGTGAACTTTTTCACTTCTTTTGTGCACAGTGAAAACAAAAAAATGTTAATCAACATGCAATTTTTTTTGAAGAGACTCACATTGTGAATCTGTTTGAATGTGAGATATATACATCAAATATTCACATGGTAATTATATGCATTTCATAGCAAAACAGTTTCAGGTTCACCAAGTGATGTACGTATAAGTACACATGGTGAATCTTTTCACTTATTTTGTGCATAGTGAAAAAAGAAGTGTTAATCAACAAGCAAATCTTTTTAAGAGATTCCCATTGTGAATATGTGTGAATATGAGATATACATCGAAGCTTCACATTGTGAATTTATGCATTTCATAGCAAAACAGTTTGAGGTTCACCAAGTGATGTATGTACACGTACACATGGTAAATCTTTTCACGTATTATGTGTATAGTGAAAACAAGTGAAAGTGGTAATCAACATGAAATTTTTTTAAGAGATTCACATTGTGAATCTGTGTGAATGTGAGAGATTCACATTGTGAATTTATGCATTTCATAGAAAAAAAGTTTGAGGTTCACCAAGTGATGTACATATACACATGATAAATGATAAAAGCACCTTGTGAATTCACAATTTGAATAAATGATATGCTAAATTTATATGTAATCATGATTCACTTTGTGAATTGTCAAATAATGTAATACTCAGAAACATTAAATTCTTTTGAAATAATCAAATGTAAACCACAAAGCACACTGTGAATTCAAAATGTGAAATTAGTTTTTTAGTTTAATGAATAAACTTAGAAACCACTTAAATTCACAAAGTTTTAGGAAATTACGGTTTGTAATTTAGATATTCATGATTTCTGTATCGATTTGAAGAAATTTAAATTATTAGGTTTTTGGTAATTATACAAATTCACAAAAGTTCATGAAAGTTGGGTTTCGATTTACTTAATAAACTCATATTCGAGTTAGATTCACAAAGTTTTAGGAAATTATAGTTTGTAATATAGATATTTATGATTTCTATATCGATATCAAGAAATTTAAATCATTAAGTTTTCGTTATTTATATAAATTATTAAAAGTTCATCATCTGAGGGTTTCAAATCAATATAAAACGATTTTGTTAATAAAATAGTATTCATAGATTCATCAGATACATAATGTAACAGGTAGTTTTGATTTTCTGATTTGAAATTTATCAATCGGAAAATTTAATGTTTAAAATCCATTAAATTAGATAATCAAAAATGAATAGTAGTCAAACATACCTTCTAGATTCATTTTTACGAACTTTTCGGCAAAATTGACCGTGGATATTGACTGAATCGTCGTCGGAGATGCGTTTGAAATCGATGTTCGTCGGTGAAGTAAAAGATCGCTTTCAATGAGACGGTAAAATCGATTTCACTGATATGTGAAACTGATGAACTGATGTCGTTAATTCACCGTTAGAATTAATAAGTTTTATGTTGACGAAAATGCCTGTGTTAGTTTATAATCGCTTTCAATGGTTGTTAATTTTTTTGATCCAACCATCTTAATAGATTCTTTGGTTCCTTCACCCATATTAGTTTTTTCTATTGAACCCTCCCCTCTCTCTCTCTCTCTCTCTCTCTCTCTCTCTATATATATATATATATATATATATATATATATATATATATATATATATATATATATATATATATATATATATATATATATATATATATATAGGGGAGGGTTCAATTGAGAAAAAAAAAAGGTTGAGAATGGGGGAATCATTCTCAGCCAATCATTTATTTTTGCCGTAAAAGCGTCCAACGTACCGACATAAATGGGAAAGGAATGCACATGTGTTTTCCAACAAAACATATTTCCTTAAACTATGCTAATCATTACCTTAATATATACAAAAACATAGTTTTTTCGTTTTTTTTATTTTTAGAAGCTATTTTTATCAAAAAATGATTTTAAATATACCAAAATTCATGATTTTTTATTCTCTACAAATAGACATCTATATTGATATGGTTTTAAGATAAAATATTTTTTTTTATATTTTCAGCTATCGGTATTCATAAGTAAATAAAAATGAATCAGGTTTATTACAGTACATTCATTATTCATTTATGAATAAAAAGAATGATTTTTTTTTTTTTTACAATTTAAGTATCATTCATATATGTATATAGTATATAATAAACATAATATATTCATATTTTAATATTGAACGATGCATTCACTTGTGAATATTAACATAGTATATTCACTTGTGAATATTAGATGATATATTCACTTATGAGTATTAAATAATATTTCATATGTAAATATTACATAGTATTCCATGGTATATCAAATGTGAATATTACATACTATATTCACTTGTGAATATTACACAGTATATTCGCATATTAATATTACAAGGTATATTCACTTGTGAATATTTTCACTTATGAATATTTGAAGGTATTTTGACAAATATATATAATTTTTATATGTTATTCACATTTGAATAACATACAGACTTGCATATTTGTTTTGTGTTTTTAATAATCATATACTGATTCAGGTGAGAAAACATATTCATATGTGAATATAACATAATAATTTAGTTTATGCATTTCATCAAACAGTTGGAGTGCATACAAGTTAACTATTTTAAAAATGTTAAAAACATCAAGTTATCAATTCCAAATCATCATATACTTCCGATTTTGACTTCAGATATGACATCCTATGTCTGATCGATTTCTCATTTTGATTTTGATTTCCGAAAATCCAATTGGGAACCTGTGAGTACCGATTCTGAGTCCTTCAATGTCGACTGTGACTGTGAGTCCAGAACTCCGATTTCAAATTCATGAACAGTGAAGAAATTCCAGTTTAGTTGAAGAAATCTGGATAATTATTGAAGGTTGGAGGAAAATTTTTGATGATTAACGAACTGTTATCGATACGTATTTGAGATTGAATGTTCTTAACATATTTACAAGTTCGTCACCGTGTCTTTTTATGTTTAGATTAAATAAGTGGCTGAGAATTATTCCCCAATTTTCAACCTTTTTTATTTTCTCAATTGAACCCACCTATATATATATATATATATATATATATATATATATATATATATATATATATATATATATATATATATATATATATATATATATATATGGGCACGTAGTTATGAAAATTTATAAGGACAAATAAAATTCTCCTTCGAAGATGTTCGTGTACCCATGTGAACTGACCACAGGTAATTTAAGTATTTATTTGGATATTCCGTTAAATATGTGTTATAACGTTAAACACCATCCAAATTGAGGTAAAATTAGCAAGAGCATGAAATCTTTTTGCATTGCCCATAACTTAAACAGTTAGTTCCAATGGAATCAGAATTAAAGTTTGGCAAGTAATAATTTAATTAATCCATAGTTCCAATTTAATTAAGATTAAATATAATATTTGTCAATCGATAGTTTATTCGGTAAATATTATTTAGAACGAAACATAGATATTGGCATGCATGACACTGATGTAACTCCTTTTCAGATTTTCTCTTCCCAAAAGTTTTGGCATTGCATGTGTGTGTGGAGAAATGCAAATTTGAAGACATCCATACATATAAACCAAATAATACAAAATAAAAGGGAATTTATGCTTTACTATTTGTCTTTCTCTTTGGCTTCTTTCATTGACTTTTTTTATTCGATGTTTGTTATTTAATCATTGATCTTTTTCAAAAAAGAAACTACACTTTATGATACAAAGATTTAAGAAAAAAATGTTATAAATACATAAGTTCGTTACTTTGTATTTATATTCCACGATGTGTTCGTATCAATCAATTATCTTTACAAATTATAGTTTTTTTTCTTTTACAATTCTAACGATGGTTGAAAATGCCAATCAGTAATTATTATATATATTTTCATAACTAAAATAATTCATCATACTCCAGCTCACATCACTCGGTTGATCTTTGTAAGATCATCTAACAAGGTCAACTACTCTTATACAAGAATCTAACAGCAAATTCTACTGTGCACCCGGGGGGAGAGAGAGAGAGAGAGAGAGAGAGAGAGAGAGAGAGAGAGAGAGAGAGAGAGAGAGAGAGAGAGAGAGAGAGAGAGAGAGAGAGAGAGTGGCATTATGGTGATTTTACATAGCAAGAAAGGGTAACTTGGTAAAAACACATGACGCTATTTCTAGTTTATGGAATCAACTCATAGGGATAGGGTAGCTTCCTCCTCAATTATTCTGAGCATCTGGTGGACTGCACCTGCTATCTCGTCTGCTGAATTTAGCCTGCATCCTTCTTCCACCTGCATATGTTTTCCCCATTTTCTATGATTAATTGAAATTGAAATATACATATATATTATTTATGCTCAATGTTTCCTTAATTTTAATTACAAGACAAACAAACTAAACTAGGAAACATCAACGTTTTTGGAAAAAACATCCTTTTCTACCTATCATTTCCAAAACATTAACGGAATTAGGTCATACCTGGTGGAATTCCCAAAAATACCCTCCCCCCTTGTACGTTTTAATAATTTATTTTTTCCCTAGAAAACCCAAAACCATGCACTCGAAATTAACCTCATCGAACTTTGAACTTTTGGGTTTATTACGGACTCTCTTTGTTATTTCGTTTTCCTTACCTTGAGAAATTTTTTGTTTTCCAAGAAAAAGAAATTTGTGTGTAATGATAAAAATAGCAAGTACTGGGAGCATCTCTAAAGCTGGTTTTTTGCATTGTGAAGTCATCCAATGTAATGTCATTTTCATCTCCACACTTTTGCATGAACACTATATACATGAACAAGTATTTGTTTTTGTGTATAATAATACATATGGATGAAAACAACGGTTGGGATGCAATGCAGTGTTTATCATCCAACTATTATCAAGAGCACATGCTATCTATCGATCTTACGTACCTTAACACTGATGGAGTAGAGAACCAAAGGGTCCAAGGTGGTGACATTGAGGTGTAGTACGGACAGATGAAGTGTTTGAAAACAAGCCACCATTTTCGAGAGCTGAGTGAGCCGTTTATGCGATAGGATCCGGATATTAGCATGCGTTTCGATCAAAGTCACCTCGATGTCTGCAATCGCTGCCTTGCTTTTTGAAGTGTACTTGTTAGGAATTTGAGAGCAAGTGTATTGTGGGTATGAAAAGAATTGTGAAAATGGAGGGAGAGTTGTTGATTCGTTGAAATTATTATTATTATTATTATTATTATTATTATTATGTCCTCCCTCGTCTTGTTCTTGTTGTTGTTGTTGAGTTAAGATGAACTTTTGAGCTTCAAGAGACTGTAAGAGATGTTCAAGCTCCTTCACAAACTCTATGGCACCACCGACTATGGAAGCTTGGTCGCCCTGCAGGATAAAGAACACAAGGGGTATAACCGTCATTAGGTGAGCAAATCAGAGTTCAGGGATCGAATCAGCTATTTGTTTTATAGGTTTTTTCTTCTGGAAATTAGTACAAGTTTAAATAATTAAGTCAACCATACGAAACTGTAAAACTTTGGCTTGTTATTGTTGTTCAAGTTTCTCATTGGGTCCATATAAGATTAAATGCATTATATCCGACAAATTGACACGAAAAGTGATCTCTAAAAAGAAGAGAAATGCTTTTGGAGATCAAGCACTGTTAATCACAGTGTTTAAGATTTTTGTACCAGGAGAGAGATTGAGAGATATGCCAAGATTTCTGACCGTTTTGACCTTTGGCGTAATCGGTATAAACCAAGTCTTTCAAATCGATGGTTGTCTTGTTCAAGATTCATCGTTAAAAAAAAAAAAAAAAATGAATTCTTTCGAGAGTTTGAAAATTGTCAAGATTCAAATTTTAGTAAATTAACTTGAGCATAATCTACATTAAGCATATGCTTTAGTACTTTCGATACTTTTTAAAATGGTTTAAAAAGAACATGTATATGAATCTGCATTGCAATCTCTTGCAAAATATTTTGGAAATTTTACTGCGACAAAAAGTAGATTGGAAATAAAGGAATAAAGCTAGAACTTTTCAAGATCTTTTGAAGATAAAGAAAGAAGAAAAAAAGAATGTGAATTGAAATAATTGAATTTGAGTCTACGGTTTTATGGATATTAAATAGGAAATAATTGAAATCCAAATCCCCATATATCCGAAATGTTCTTTGATTCATTAATCTACAAAAATAAATCAAGTATGAACTGTATCAAAAACCCTATAAATATATTCAAGAGAAAGTGATTAAATAAGCAAAAGAAAACCAACCCTTTGGACGTAAGATTCCGGCATGAGAGAACGCAAGACGGCGAGATGCTCATTCATTTGTTTCCGGCGATTCCTCTCGACGGCAATGTGAGTCATTCGTTGAGTTTCAGCTTCTTCTTTATTCTTGCTAACCCTAGGCCTTCTTCTTCTCTTCTTCTTCCCTCCTCCTTGTATCCCTAAATTCGGATTGTTGCTGTTGTTGTTATTACTGTAGTTCTTCTCTGGGACTTTGCCACCGCAGTACGCTTGCACCGCCATAGACATCTTTGTGGTGGTTGTAGTTAGAGATGAAGTGGAACTCATAATTTCCATGGCAGCAGCAGCACCTGTGAGTTCTTGACACAGTTGATTTAGAGGAGGGTTAGGGTTTTCGTTTTCGAGATGGTAGAAGAAACTACTACAAGGATTAGTGTTAGTAGTTGTGGTTTCAGAGGAGTCATTGCAGCTAAAAGGGGTTGCAGAGATGGTGTCATAGATTATGAAGTTGAGGAGTTCATTGGAAGAAAGTGTTTCCAAAGCCATGCTCTCTCTCTTTTTGTTATCTAATGTGTGGCAACTTTAGGCTTTTGTGTTTGTTCACATATATCTATTTATATTATATGAGGTAGAGTGGTGTAACCCTATGCTACTATTCAACTCTCTCCTTTTATCTTCTTTAACTTTTTTCTTAGACTAGATTGACTAGTAATCCATTATATTTACCAAGATTAGCCATGAAATTCGTCAGAACGGTTATTATTATTAGTATTTTTTAGACCACCAAAAAAACTCTAGCTCGAAGGTGACTAGATGTCTATTAAAGTAAGTCGGGTTATTTTTGACTCATTAATTAGGGTTAAAATAAGGTGAAATTAATTTTTCTGCCTCACTGATCAGGGTTAAAATAAGTAGATAATAAATTTTTTTGATTAACTGACTTGCTCGAGAAATTCATTAAACTTATTAGAGTTTAATGGATTGAAATCATCATTTTACTTACTATATAATTTTATATTAATTTTTGTATAAAACATTAAATTTGTTAGAGTTCAATTGAATATATGTTTAATACTTAAAATATTTCATTTTTCATCTAAAAGAGTTCAATGGTCATTGAACTTCATTTCTATTGAATGCCAACATAACATCCCACAATGATATAATTTAATTCATTGAATGTCAATTAGGCATACCACCTCACTCAACTCTCGTATTAAACAATGCATTGTGGATGCTATTAAAGTGAATGCATCGTAACAATAGAATATGTTATCGATTATTAGAGTTCGTCCGAATGGTTATTATTATTAGAGTTCTTTATTGATTTTTATTATATAGGATTATCAATCTAAGCTTATAAATGAAGGAAAATTTTCTTAAATTTTATCGTTGCCAATAGTAAGTTAATAGCAAAAAATATAGTTTTCTGTCTAAGTTCCTACATAATATCAGTGCTTTAGGTTCACCAATCTTTGTTTGGCACCGTCTACGATTTTATATCTTCGTCCCATTGTGGTGTATATCCATAATCTTATAGGGTCCTTCCAATGCGCGCCCTAACTTTCTTCATGGTTGGCTGTGGTTGACCTCATTTTTCTGAAGGACCATATCTCTAACTTTGAGAACTCTACTTCAAATACATTTGTTGTGGTACTTTTTCGAGCTTGCTTTCACGGATGTGGGTTAGCTCCCGTTTTTCCACAACCGGGTCAAGGTTGTGGCGTAGGTCTTGGTTAAGTATTTTATTTGAAGTCGGGGACTCGTAGTAACCCAAGTGTTAGTTAAGGGGGAGTACAACATCGGTGCCATATACGAGGCTAAACAACATTTCTTGGGCGCTTACTTGTGGGGTTGTATGGTATAACCAAAGGACACTAGGAAATTCATCGACTTAGATCCCTTTTGCTTTGCCTAGGCATTTCTTAATATTGATGAAGTGAAATGTTTTTGAATCTACTGATCAGCTCTCCAACCTTTGAATGAACCTTTTGTAAATTGTAATCCATTATTACTAACTAATACATGTGACACTCTACATTTGGTAAGAAGTTTTTCCATGTAATTTGATGATGCTTCAATTGTCATGGTTGCCAATGGTTGCCAGTGGTTCTGTCTCGATCCACTTGGTGAAGTAGTACTCCACCACGACTAAGAATTTTACTTTGACCGAAGTTTCAGGAAACGGGTTGTCAATATCAATGCCCCATTTGTGGAAAGGTCAAGGGATTGTCATATTGGTCAACAAAGTAGTTGGGAGATTATGTACTAGGGAAAATGTTTGGCATTCCACATATTTTTTAGTTGTTTCTGTTGTGTCTTTTACATGTCGAGTCAATGGATGCCCATATGTAGAATTTTCCCTATAAGTGTCCTAGCCCCTTCATGTGCCCCATGTTGCTCCCATGTATATATCATCTAGGACAATTTGTCTTTCTGTCGTGCTTATGCCTTTCAACCAAGGTGTTAGGTATAATTTCATGTGTACTTTTTCGTTTTTGATTGCATATTGTGGAGCCGTTATCTTAATCTTTCTGGCTTAACCACTGACATCTAGGAGAACGTCATGTAGTAGGTAGTTATAGATGATTGAATGTTATAGAGGCCAACTTATTATAAGCATTGGGTTGATTATTGTTTCATATGGAGTTTTTTACTGAAAGCTTGTTACTAACATTGAGTCATTCAAGGTCTGTATGTGTTTGGCCCCCATTTCATTGGTCAAGCGAAGGCCTCCTAGCAAAACTTCAAATTCAACCACAGTGTTTGAAGTTTGGAAGTCAAACCATAATGCATATGTGAATTTATCTGCTTGATGGATTTTTAGAACAAGGGTGACTCCTGAGCCTTCCTTACTTTTTTATTCCATAAGTATATATAACCGTCCAGTTTCCCTAATGTTTGTATTACCAAAAGGTTTAACTGGGTTATATATTAGAGGTGTAGTTTGGGAAATTTCTCGAATTTCTGATAGGAAATCATCAAGAGCTTGCCCCTTAATGCTTGTTAGTGAGTGATATCTAATGTCTTGTTCCCATGACTCTATTTCCCATTTTCCTAGTCATCTAAAATTTTTCGGTTTGAGTAGTATTTGTTTGATCGGTTGGCTTGTTAGTATTTCAACATGGTAAGCCTAACGTATCACCTTAGCCGGCTAACAGCATGGATGAGTTCCAGTACTAGTTTTTCAAGCATGGGGTATAAGCGCGGCTCAACTAGTTTGGAGGCTCCACGTGAAAAAAAAGTTTGGAATCTTTTGGCATTTACTATACTTAATGTTATAAATCCTCATCTTTTATTTGGGCTTGGGACTGGCAATAATAAACTGAAAAGATTATAACTGGTGGAGTTAATTTATTATTATTAAATATATGTTTTTTTGTGAATGTATTTAGGACATTAAGTTCATTTTTTATGCCTTTTTAGATGCAAATTCTTTAATAAAATTTTCATAATCAATTCTTTTACTAAATTCTTTTCAATTGACAAAATAGCTAATCCATTTAATTTTTTCTTTTGATATTGCAGATCTTAAATAATTTTTTAACAATTTTAATTTAGAATTTTTTTTTTCTATAGAGACAATATTTACATGAATAATTAATATAATCCTATAGATAATATATGCGTTTGGAAAAGAAATAAACTTTTTAATGTAGTTAAGTATATTAATAATTATATCACATTCCAAATGTATAATGTCTTAAAAGTTTTAGTTCATTAAATTTATTTTATTATTATTAATTATAGGGCTTACCGTGTCACATGAATCAAGTAAAAAGAAAAATGGCAGGTATGTCATTGATGTAACAGATGTAGTGAAGGAAAAAATGAAAATTAGGAAACCGAAGAACACATCTAACAGAAGAGTTAAAGTTAATGCCCATGTACATACAATATCAGCTAGGGCCAACCCAAAGTCGCTTTTTAAAATTATTACAAGTTAAATGATGAACAGCTAGATATTGAGTGATATGGAATTTTCATCGTTGATTGAAATGATAGTTAATGGTGTTCGTACAAGCCTAGGGTTTTATGTACTTGACTGTTTTGATCCGGTAACAATGCATATTATACTCGACAATGGTGATATCGAGATGTTTGTTGAAAGGATACAGAAGATAGTAGAGTTACAAAACAGAGGAGTTTTAACAGTTTCGTTAGCTACAATTTCAACAAATAATTTATTTTTTTGAATGCTAGTGAAACATCCCAAAAATACAGTTTGAAAATTTCGTTATAAATTAGTAATAAAACCATATTCATCAAACGTTATATAAGAATCATAAACAATGTATCTCAAAATATCTTAACAGCTGTCAAATATATCAGAGTATAAACATCCCAGACTGAACAAATGGTGTGTGCATTGCAATCTTCCCGAGCTCCTCTTTTGAAAACTAAGTACCTGAAACCAAAACTGAAAACTGTAAGCACGAAGCTTAGTGAGCTCCCCCAAACTACCACATACCATACAATAACATATAAAGCATCTACTAGGCCTTGCCCACTATATCAGACCGAAGTACGGAATTAACCAGGGTCTTGCCCTCTGCATTAGACTGAAGTCTGGAAACTGCATCGGACCGAGGTCCGGAAACTACATCGGACCGAAGTCCGGAACTAACTAGGGCCTTGCCCTCTGCATCGGACTGAAGTCCGGAAACTGCATCAGACCGAAGTCTGGAACTAACCAGGACCTTGCCCTCTGCATCGGACCATAGTTCGGGACTAACTGCATCGGACCGAAGTCCAGAACTGACTGGGACCTTGTCCCCTGCATCGGCCCAAAGTCCGGAACTAACTGCATCGGACCGAAGTCTGGAAACTATCTGAACATAACATAACATAGCATAAACATATCAACTAGCATGAACACATAAGTTGCATACTGCATCGGGTCGTAGCCCGGAATACATAACACATAAAACACTGTCAGAGCCACGAAGGCATCAAACATTCTAACTACTGCATCGGACCGAGGTCTGGAAACTAGTACTAATTAAATGGGCCGACATTGTGGCCTTGGACCCATTCCTACTGGAAGGAAACTCACCTCGTGATGCTGACTGCTGAACTTCTGAATGAGAAATCCTTGACTGCTGCTCCGGCTGCTTCCCAGCTATAATGGGAAATAAATACTAAATCAGAATAGGGATTCCTTTATGGGTAAAATGACCATTTTACCCCTACTATGGTGTGGGACACAACATGGCCAAAACCTCAATTCCTTCTAAGTCCGTCTATGGCCCCACTATAGGCCCATTAATGGCCTAATTTGCTATATTGGGCCTAGAACCCTTTTATTGGGACTTACTCAAGCCCAATACTAAATCCTTGGTCCTTAGAAACTGAACTCTGATGGGCCATAAAGGCCCACGGACCCTAATGCTGAAACCCAGCCCACACCAAGGCCTAACACTCGAAGCCCAAACTGGTAGCATATGCGAGGCGTACACCAAGGTACGCTGAGTGTACTGGCTGCTGGCTCGTACGCGGCACGTACTTCCTTGTACGCCCAGCGTACAGCTCTGTTAAGCCAACATCTCATTAAGTGCTTAATAATCCGATCCAGAAGCTACAAATC